TTTGATTGCTAGAGAGGCTGGATGTTTTCTATATGTTTTATGGGATTTGTATATTTTGTGAATTTTCTGTCCATGTCTGTCTTTGGTTTTTATTCTCAAGTGCTTACCAAAGTTATAATTCTCTTGCTGATGTCAAGAGAAATAAAGGCCTCTTTTATTTTTGCTGATTTGGTGTAGTTTTGTCTCCGCGACATGGCTCTGGTAGTTTCTTGTGAGGATGGCGGCACCTGAAACACTTTATCGAGCACATGATACACATTGCCTATCAAATGGCTCAACATCAGTTCCACAGAAATAACCTAAATGGCCATTCAAGAGCATTTAGACTGTTTCTGCCTAAAGAGTTCCATATAGGAATTAGATCAGTGATTGGCAAATGATGGCCTGTTGGCCAAAATCTAGTCCAGTTTGTAAATAAAGTCATAGTGGAACACAGACATGTTCCTTTGTTGACGTGTTGCTTGTGGCTACTCACACCACAATGTCAGAAGTTGAGCAGTTGATACAGAGAGTGTGTGGCCAGCTAATCTAGAATATTTACCATCTGACTCTTAAAAAAAAAGAAAAGGTCAACCCCTCAACTGGATGTTAGTTTGGTGGTGCTTGATACCATGTAAGTATTTGCAAAGGCTTCCTAAAATTGATGGTTCATTTTCTTATGAATAAAAACTTATAAGCACGGGTGTCATGCCATCTGCAAAAACCAATAAATGACAATGGCAGGCATCTTTCTTCAAATGATGTATGTGAGTGTAATACTTGCGTCAGCCTATCTTCCTGTGAATTCCCCAGATAACTGGTTTCCAGAAATATTGCTGTTGTAGCCACACTCTCGCCTGACAGCCACCCATTTCCCTTCCCACTCTTCTCCCTTTCCCCTACTCCCATACCTTCTGGAAATATCAGATGTACAAAATGGGCTTTACCTGCTCAAACCTCTCATTGTCACTGTTTTCACAGCATTGTAAAACACATTACATTAAAAAACCAACCAGAGGGTGGAAGCCAGTGGTTAACACCTAGAAGCTGAAAGACTTGGCACATGGTTAAACTACCAGTCTTTTTTGGGCGTGTTTCATCTCCCTTGTCTCTAGGGCCCCAGTCTTTCTCCTGTGGCTTCTCTGCGTCCCCCTGTGTGGGCATCACTTCCATCCTCTTCAGGACCCAGACTTGCTCCTCAAGGGCATTGCTTGTCCTGGGGGTTGGGCACCCCAGTTTGGCTGTCTCTCTTCCTCTTCCCACATGGCTTTTGCTTGGCAGGACTGCTCTTCTGCTCCCTGGGCCTGTCTTGCTCCCTCTGACTTGGAGAAGGCAACCATTGCTGGGCTGCATGCTCTTGGGGAACACTTTTCTCTTCTAGGGTGCTGATCTCTCTCCTGTGGCCCTTCCTAAGTGCTTGCCAATAGTGCCTCTTGGTAGTGGCCTGGGCACAAAGCCATCAGCCAGCTGCTTCCTGCTAGTCTCTGTGTACTACCTGAGTCGGAACACTGTGTGTTGTGTGCATATAGATGTTGAGGAACTTTGATGTGGTTGTAGGACTCTGCTTTAAGTTGTCAGCATAATAGGCCTGATACTGCTGTCTTTAGAAAGGTCTGCTTGCAAGACTAACCATGGACTAGCATCTGAGAATTTGGGTCTTGGATATCCAGTTTCCTACCATACCCTGATTATGAGTGACTGACTATGCTTCAACCATTTGTGCAAATAATATGGTTTATGCTAAACACCTTTATTCCTTCTGGGAGTCTGGAATCTTGGCACATGTTAGATGTAGTGACCAACACTCAGTAAGATCTGGAATCTCTAATGAACTTCCTTGGTAAGCCACATTTGTTTTCACAGCTCGTTGCTGGAGGAATTTAGCATGTCCTATTTGATTCCATTGGGAGAGGACTCTTGGAAGCTTACACCTGGTCTCTGGAAGTTGCCCCATGCACCTTTTCCCTTTCCTGATTTTGCTTTGTATCTTTTTGCTATAATCTTGACTGTTAATACATACTCATGGATATGTACTGTGAGTATATATGCTGAGTGCTGTGAGTCCTCCTAGCAAATCATGGAACTTGGAAGTGATCCTGGGGACCTACCCCTGACACAGGACTTACCAGCTGGAGAGCTCTCCATATCATGCAGATTCAAGGCACACTGTGAGGTATTTGATAGTCCTACTCGTGTGTTCTTGTGTGCATCCCATCTTTCCAAAAGAGCACACTTGAAACAGTGAGGTGATTTGGAGAAGAGCTGCTTCCACCAGCTTGATCTTGGCCACTTGTTGCATTATTGTGCATTCTTAGTTTTGCTACTTTTAACATTTCTGGCCAGAACGGTCACTTTTAAAAATTACTCTGATGATAGTTGTCTAGTAAGAGCCACTCAGCAGTCTCTGGGGCCTTCGTGGAGAATTAAAGTAGGTAATAGGTTGAGGACAAGGGTGAGGACAGTTGCACTTAGTGTGCAGCAGATCGGGAACTGATGGTCTGCTTGTTCTCTTCCTTTCTTACACTCTTCTTCCTGTGTCTCTTCCACGTGCAAACATGAGGTATTGCTTCCTGTCTTTAGTCATTTCATACAGTTTGGTTTGTACTGTCTTTGGTCATAGAAATTGTTCTTCTAAAACCTCTCCAGATCATCCTTCATTTCTGCATTGGACATGCTGCCTCCATGGCTGGTTTTACATTACAAGGGGTGCTCCCCCTGAAAACAGCACTGACAGGGTGGTCAAGCAGAGTTGATTGCTGTGACAGAGAGGCTTGCTGATCCTCTGGCTTATCTCTATCTAGTGTCTGCTATAAGTAGAGAAACATGGGCAAGATTGAGCTGCAAAGCCAAGCCAGTTTCTCCAGGGCTTTACAGTTGTGGTAAAAAAAAAAAAAAGAAAGCATGGCAGAACTTCTCTCAGATGAGCCATGCAGAGGAAGCCCACTTGAGGATCAAATTGGCTATATGGAGTTTGAGAATCAGTTATGGGACACAGTAAGTGCTTATTGAGCCTCTTCTAGGTGCCAGGACCATAATGCAAAACAAAATACACAAAAAGACCTCACCTCAGAGAGCTCATATTTAAGTGTGATAACAGCTGCTATGACTACTCGCTTAGTCAGTTTTCCCTAGAAGCTTGTAAAGTTTGGGCCCTGCTAGAATCTTTTGATGTTTTATATTTGGTGGTCACTCAAGTGGCATTAAGTATAATGCCTCGTCTCTCCCTTTATATTGGCAGTCAGAGTCTGGTTCATTCTGGAGCTCTCCGTGATTGTTTCTCTAGAATGTTTCCCTCTCAAATTCATTCACTCAGTGGTTCTGTCAGGCCTGGTTGGCATATATGATTACCTTCTCTTTTTTTTTTGTCTGGAGATTGGCATTTCTAATTTTTAAAAGGGTTGGGCCCACTGATAATGAATTTTAAAATGAAACATTTCTTTATCTTGCAAGGCAACTATTGCCTAATTTAGTGACTATCAACTTAGTGAATATCATAGCAGTAGTGTGTGGTTTTCAGATTGTGTCTGGGTCGTCAGAACTAAGTGTACCTTAGGGAAGGTATTTACTGATATGTAGAGAGCATCTGGAATTGAGAAATAGGAAAACGCGTTCTGAGACTCAAGGCCTTTTGCTCAGTGCTGACTCTGCTTCACATATAGCATCTCATTTAATCCTCTCAAGTCTCTCCTCTTCGGAAGGAGGTCAGTGAAGGTCAAAGAGGAATGGTTTGATTCAGGTGCCTCAGTTCACAAGTGAAACAACTGACTCTCTTCAGTCCCACAAGATACATTGAGTAAAAGGAGAACGGGTTTCTGTTGCCAGGTCTGCTGCTAACTGAAAGTTTAAACGTGGGGATTAAGCCAGGTTCTGGTTTCTTTAGTTTTTAAATTAGGGGCTTTGGGCTTTCCTTAAGGCCTTCAACTTCTGTGATTTTAGTAGAATTCTGGTTTAGCTCCTCCTATCCCTCACCTTTGCCCTGCCAGTCATTACTGGGTATGATGGTGTTTTGTTTGTCTTCTTGTTTTTCCCATTAGGATCTATGTTCTTTGCCTTGGGCCACACCTGGTGTTAACACCCTGAGCAGGGGTAGCTCTTGTAACCAGTGGTTGTGCTATAGACTCTGAATGACATGCAGAGGATCTTTATCAAAGTATGTTATAGGACTCACTGCTCTTGCAGCTCTTTGAAACCCCATGCAGCTGAGCCACAGACCTGTGATGAGTAGAAGCAGGTATTTAGAAGGCCAGGCTTCAAGGTAGGATTCTCCAAATAGATATCAGATGGAGGTCATGGACCTTCACAGATCTGTGCCTGGTGTAGGGCAAATCCATTGTTGTCACTGGGAAAAATAGCTAGCAAGCGTGCCTCCAGGGAGTGTGGGTCCTTAACATGTGAAAGGTACCTTCACACGTGAAAGGTAGCCTGTTCTCATTTCATTACAATTCGTTTTGGGTATCACTGTGCACCCTTGCTTCTCTTGAATGTTTTTATAACATGTATATAATAATCATTACTACTCAGTGAATGGAAAATATGAAAATTGAAAATGGGTGGTCGAGTCATTAAATTGCAAATGAATACATTATCAGTGGGCACTTGGTTCCAAGCACTAGGCTGGTTACTTGTGCTGTGATTTTAGTATAAGTATGCAGGGGACATAACATTTAAGCTCACAAATGTTAAGAGTAAATGCTCTGCTCCCTTGCTTTTCTTCCCTCTTCTACATATCTGCCTCTGTATTCTTCCTCCCTTCCTTTTCTTATTTTTCCCTTTCCTTCCTTTTTTTTTCTCTCTCTCTCCCTCCCTCCCCTGCTCTCTTTTTGCTCTCTCCTCTCTCCTCCCCTCCCACTCTTCGTTTCTACAGAGTCAAGCTCTGTCACTTAGGCTGCAGTGTACTGGTGCGATATCAGTTCACTGCAGCCTCTGCCCCCCAGGCTCAAGCAAACCTCCCACCTCAGCCCCCTGAGTAGCTGGGGCTATAGGTGTATACCACCGTGCCTGGCTAATTTATTGTATTTTTTGTAGAGACAGGATTTCACCATGTTGCCCAGGCTGGTCTCAAACTCCTAAGCTCAAGCGATCTACCCACCTCTGCCTCCCAAAGTGCTTCTTTGCTTTAAATTGAAGAAAAGCCAAGGTGGAAAACTGTAGGTTTTGATAGAGGCCAAATCCCTTGATTCTGCAGTTGGCTGACGCCATGATGTGTGATGGCTCTGAGGTCTGCAACTCTGGCTTTGCTAGAACGAAGTGAGACCATCTTCTCTCTTCATACAGAAGTGTGTGGAGGATGTGAAGCACAGTGGGGAGGTGGGAGGGCTGGACCACGCCCCCAGGCAGTAACTTGCCCCTTTGTTTGGCTTCCCAGATTCCTCCTGGTTGTTTTAGGTGGATCTAGAAAAGATTGCCTCATACAGCACTGCCTGTTCAGTAGAAAGATGTGTCACTTTTTTTATAGCCTCAGATCTTTTGCCTCTGATTGAGGAGGCAAATGGAGGAGAGAGAAGTTTTGTTTTACCTCCCTTGAGGTGGCTGTTCTACACTGTTTTAGGTGTCATCACATAGAGAAAGCATCCATTGTTGTCTGCGGTTTAGCCCCTTAGACCTTTTAAGTCACTGAAAGATCTCTGCACTAGCAGTAAAGTAACTTGTTTTCAGTATTATTTTTATTTTCATATTTCCAAATCTAAATATAAGGTTTTAACACAGGGACTTTTTGGAGCTGCTGGATGATTTTTGCCTTAGAAACCACTAAGACTGAGTATTCAGGGCATGATGTTCATGTATCTGAGACAAATTTAGAAATACACATAATCTAATGAAGGATTTTTGTCCCAGGTATATACCACTGCAGGTCAAGCTCTGTATAAGGGGATTTGTAGTTGTGAATGCCAAGGGCTTGGTTTTGTAGAAGGTAGGTTTGAGTATATAGTTTAGATGTTCCTTATGTTGATTGACACTTGGTGGCTCTTCAGTGGTTTGAAGATGCCAGAAAAGAACGGGAATGGCCAGAAAAATCTAGAAACTATAATGAAAGTACTTACAAGTTGAATATAGCCATAATAGAGCTGGACTGTGCTAGAAGTGACTAAGGCTGGCAGTGGAATGGGAAGTTCATTAGGCCCAGTCAACTGTGTGGCTGTCTTCACTCAGGCAGGGAAAATGTGATATCTTGGGATCCTCTTGCAGTAATTTCCAAACACAAGAGCTGTGAAATAAGTTCTAATTGGAAATAAATCTTCATTGGTGTTGAAAATATTTTTCCCTCTGGATTGGCCTTCTCTTTTATTCTCACTCAGTCATAATTTTAGTAGGGAGTTTTGTTATCACGTTAAGGGTATTCATTCCATTTCGACTTGTCACCGAGATTCTCTTTGAGGATGAGAAGAGCAGCCAGTAGTGGCTGGCTTGGCTCTTTTGTGATGTTGCTGGCTTCGGCTAAACAGGAAAGGGCTGTTCAGAGTTTCTTTTGGAACCATCAGGAGTATTGTTTGGGCAGCTTTGCTACCTGACAGGAATGGTTTTGGGAAGCTTGAATTAGACCAAGTTGCAATCTGTTTCAGTTCAGCCTCTTGCATTAATATAGCAGATACTCCCCTGTCTTAATCTAAACAGTGCTTAAGGGCGAGTAGATGGGTTTGGTGGATTTACAGCACTCCTTCTGAACCCTAAGAATCTGTGGTTTTATTATTTGTAGTGGAACCAAAAAATAACTATAATTTTTATTTGGGAGGTGGAAAGTAACGGTAAAATTATTTGGAAGGGAAGAGGGTTTCATCTTGGAGTATTTGGCAGCCTCATGAAACATGTTTGTTCTTATTTGAATTTAGACTCTTGAAATACTGTGAACTTGGCAGCTGAGGCCAAGAGGTGGGGTAGAGAGAGAGGAGGATGGGAAACAGACTAAATTCATGGAATTTCATGTAGCTGGGTAGGCCAAGTCGATTCCAGTTTAGTTACCATGTTTTCTTTGTGGCTGTGTCAGGAAGTTGGGGATGGACACATGGAATCTAAAAAATAACACACAATTTTAAAAGTTTCTACCACCATATAAAACTAGCCGAACCTAGGAGTCAGTTTCTGGAATTTGTGGGAACTAAAGAAATGCCAAATATTAAATTACTTGGTTTGGTATGAAGGAGTGGCTGCCTGGCTCTTAACAGTTTTTGTGAATTTTCTGCTCTTTTTATCCTTGGCTTCAAGTTTTTATTGATGGAAAGTTAAATATTCTTTTTTTTCCTTTGTTGCATATGACTAAACCTATGGTTCTTTTGCTTTCTCTTTTTTCCCCTTGCTTTGTTTTTCTCTTTCACTCCAGGAATTAATTTTAGCACTTGAAAGAAAACCACTTTCCTTATTATAAAGTACATAAGAGACAGTAAAAAATAGAAAATCTTTTTATACAACTGACCTTGATTCTGAAGATACTGTAATCTATTCCACTAAACCGCTCTTTCTTCTTTTATTTATTTTACTTTGTTAAAATAGACTTGATATTTGATTAGGGAAAAAAAAAATCTATATTTAAGTGTTAAGAGATGTGGAATCCAGAAAAGGGAAAATTGCAGAAATTAAAAAGAAATTTTAAAGATTATAAAATAAATACGTTCATACCATCAAATGAGACAACTTTGATAACATAGAAAAATTCCTAGAGAACTTCTATCAAAATCATCTGAAGGCAGAGTGTAGTGGCTCATACCTGTAATTATAGCACTTTGAGAAGCGGAGGCAGAGGAGTGCTTGAACCCCAGAGTTTAAGATCAGCTTGGGCAATGTAGTGAGACCCCATTTGCTACAAAAAATAAAATTAGCTTGGTATGGTGACACGTACTCGTGGTCGTGGCTACTTGGGAGGCTGAGGTGGGAGAATCACTTAAGCCCAGGAGATTAAGGTTGCAGTGAGCCCTGATTGTGCCACTACAGTCCAGCCTGGGCAACAGAGTGAGACCTGGTCTCAAGAAAAAAAAATTATCTGAATAGCTCAATAACAAAGAATTTGAATTAATTATTAGAACTCCTCTCACAGAGAAAAACGCATGCTTAAATAGCTTCATTGTTGAATTCTCTCAGGAATGTTAACAGGTAATGACACCAATTCTTCACAGATTCTTCCATGAAATACAGAAGGAGGGAATACCTTACAGTTCATTCTGCCATTATTACCCTGTTACCAAAGCTATACAAAGACATCACAAGTAAACATGGACTCCTGTAAACACTGACACAATTCTTAATATTAGAACCCCAAATTTGGCAACATATGAAAAGGGTTATATATAATGAACAATTGGAATTTATTCTAGGAACACAAGGTTGGTTTAACATTCAGAAATCTATTAATATAATACTCCATAATAGAACAGAGGTCAGAAATCATGTTATTAATGTAAGCAGAAAAGCATTTGAGAAAACTCCGCCTTTGATTCATGAAAGCAGTTCTCAACAAACTAGGAAAAACCTGGAATTTAACAACATACTTAATAGAAAAGAACTTTTTTTTTTTTCTCCTAAGATTAGGAAAAAGGCAAGATTGTCATGAAGGTTCACCCTTTTGGCCAGGCTGGTCTTGAACTCCTAACCTCAAATGATCCGCCTGCCTCAGCCTCCCAAAATGCTGGGATTACAGGCATGAGCCACCTTGTCTGGCCTATCTATTATTTATCACCAAATAAAAATTATGGTTTTTATAAAAAATTTAGAGTTAGAATACTATTTCTTTTCATAGTAAGTATGTCACTTACATTTTTTCCACTCCTAAGAATGATCAGACAATCAGAGGAGCTGTTTGTAAGGGCAATTAGACATCATGCAGATCATATTCTGTTGTTACGTATCCTTTTTAAAATCATGATTTAACATCAGCTGAATATAGTTTTGAGCTTCTAGATGTTGGAAGGTGTTTTCAATAAACTTGGTATTGCAGATGATTTGGGTGGTCTTCTGGAGTTTCTTTTGATTAGATGTGATCAGAAGTACACCTGAGAGCTTAGTCTAGGATAGGAATTGGAGAAGGGGTAGTTCATAATGGTGATGGTTGAGTGTGTATATGTAGGTAGGAACCATGGGTTGATATTGGGGCTGGTTGAATGTTCTGTTTGAAAAATGATTTGCAAGCAAGAAGCATGAAAGCAGTTTAAGACTCTACCTTCCCTCTGAATGAGAAAAACAGAAGAATGGGAAAAGGAAGTGGCATTTAGAAGATAAGAATTCTTCCTCTTTTCTGTGAAAGTGAGATGTTCCATTTAACAATAATATTCTTACCTAGGTCTTCCCAATTGTACTTTTCCATTTTGCCCAAAAACACTTGCCCATCATTTCTTCTTCTCCCCCAGAATTTATGTTTCCAAGCTTCTATCACTGTCACCATCTGTAGTCCACAAAAACTCTATCAATTCTGTGAGCCAATGTTATTCTAGAGGATACAAAAGAAGACTGACACATGGCCACTAACTTTGTGGAACTTAGTTACACTGACTTTGCAGTCTTTTTAGGTATGTGCATTTATGCACACAAATTCCAGTTGGAGGATGGTCAAAGCAAACAGCAGATTTTTAGTTTTAGATTGTTCAGTATAGACTAAAACTTTTATAGGTGTTCACAGGCAGCCTGGAGGTACTTGTGCTAGTTGGAGTACTCTTGTGAAGTTTCACAGATAAAGGAGAGTTTGAGCTAGGCCTGCAGGTTACGTAGGATTTGGAATGCTATTTGCAACCTTCATCAAGTTGAATAAATGAAAATGAGATTTGTATTTAAGGTTGTGTAGCTTTTGTGTTTTTTAAGATGTAGTGTGTCTGAATCAGGATTTTCTTTATTTCAGCAAGATGAACTACAAGTGTTGGTAAAGGTAGTTACACCCTCTCTTCTGATTTCATAGTGGTAGGGCCAAACCCAGTATCTAATATGTATCTCCTGTCCCATCTTTTATTCTTAAAGAATTTTTTCAGATTGGATGTGTACAGACTTGGTTCAAAAAATTTAAAAAGTTACCATTTCAAAGTTGGTTTCCTTTAATCCCATAATCCATGTCCAAAGGCCTCTTGTTGCACTTCTGTCTTCCTGCAGCAAACACCCACCCTCGGATCTTCCCTGGAACACACAAACCTTGTTGCTTCTGAAGAAATTCCTCCCCGGCTTTCCAGTTGACTTGCACTAACTTAGTATATAACTCTCTGTAAGCTCATGTCATTAAATTTTGTCATATCATTATGGAAAGGCATTGATGTTTACTCTTTGATCTGCAGTTTTGTTGCAAAGGTCGCGGGTAAATTCATTTCTATGTTCTCGCGAGCAGAACAGAAGTAAAGAGAAGATTAATTTCTTATACTGTTGATTGTTCAGTATAACTTTTGCAAGAAGCAACCATTGGGTTTATTAGCACTGACCCTTGGATTTATTAGCACTGACCCTTGGATTTCTTAGCACTGCATGATGCTGGAAGATAATAAATTCCTGATTACCTTTCAGATTTCCCTCATTTAGACCATCTTCCTTTTCAATACGTTTGTGCTTACTGTGTAAGACAGAGAGTTGGGTCCTGAAGATAGGCTGAAAAACCAAGATTGTATATTGTAAAATTAAAGTGATTTCTGTCAAAGTCTACAGGAATGAAATCACATCCTGCCTTCTGTTGAATGTCTTGAGGGTGAATTATTTCCTAGTACCAGTGACTCCTTCTGCACATGCACAGTGACTTATTGGAGCAAAGGCTGTTTTTTAAACCTCTCTTGAGCTTTGGACCCAGCACTATGCACAGTTAACTAGTTCACTCCAAATAGGAGACACCTAAATGTACTCGGTGACAGAGAAGAACACTTTACCAACACTTTGTACTTAAGTTCAAGATTATAATTTCCAGAATGAAGGTTAAACTTTAGTTTTATGCACTTTTATAACCAAACTAGAGACGGACCCATTCGCATTGTCAGCCCACAGTGAAATTTAATGTTGGAATTCATTGAAGTTATTATTTGAGGTGCTTTAGGATGCATGTGAGCTTGTTGAAAAGTAAGTTCTTCATCAAAGATAGTTGGCAAAGGGTTAATAGTTAAAGATGAGCAAAGGAAAATTATCCTTCATCCATGTGTTTAAGTCAGAGAAAGCATACATTTAAGTAATTTAGCTTA